AAAAAAAAAAAAAAAAAAAAAAAAAAAAACAGCAAACAAGAAGGCCACACACAGAACACGCCTCAGCAAGCGGGGTCTCCCTGCAGGGCCAGGTTCCATCTACCCTGTCTCTTCAAGGGGCAGGGCCCAGAAACGCCTGGTGATGGGTCATGAGGGACCACCCAGCTCCGCCCCTGGCAGGGAAGCGCCATCCTAGATGCCACGGCAGCTTCAGGGTCCCCAGTCCTGGTACACTGAGCACTCGTCAAACATCCTGCAGATGGCAGCCTACAGGACCACCGCCGCCTTCTACACTCTAGGGCCACGTCAGCCAGGGCTCAAGCCCCAACCCCAAGGCAGGAAACAGGGAACCCTGATCCCACAGAAGCCCAGGCCCCAGCGACTGCAGACATGCCACCTCAGGTCACAGAAAACACCAAGGGCACCAGACAGGGGCTCACCCTGCCACTGCCTCTGGGACCCTGTGATGAGCCCCAGAAGCCCCTGACACACCCGAGGGACAGCCACGTGGGCGGAAAAGCACCCCCGGCCTCTGACAGGCTGTGGCCGCCCCAGGTAGGTCCCTTTCACTCACTCATCCTGTCTCTGGAAGAAGCCCCAGGGCCTCCTGTGTGGGACCCACAGGACTCAGCCTGGAGTCACACTTGGGGCTGTAATTTTTTGCAGCAAGGGAACACACAACAACCTCAGCACAGGAAAAAGACACATGGGGCAGGGTCGGGGGAGGTCAGACACAGCTTCCAGGACTCCCTCCCAGAATGGTATGAGGGCCCGTCCCGGGAGCACCCACTGCTGGGCGAGCAACAAAATCCCAGGCTCCCTGAAGAGAAAGAAGGTATTCAGCAAAACCCTGCTGTTTGCACCAACACTTTAGGTGCAGGAAGCCCCTCATCAGGAAACGGAGGGAGCCTTTGCAAAACCCACGACCCCAGGCACCAGTCAGAGGCAGTCTTGCCAGCTGGCTGTCTTGGACCACTGTGTGAGCACTTCCATACAGGAGCCTCGAGTCAGAAGACAGGGCCCAGGTACACGACCGCATTGGCCATCCCACCGGGCAAGCACGACCAGGCCGTGACACCACAGAGCTCTGCCCTGAGAGACTCACACACTTGAATCCCACACCCTGGTCCCACCGACCCTGGTCCCACCAGCCCCGGCCCCACCAAGCTCCACCTGAGAGGCTCACACACTCCAACCCGACCCCAGCCGCCATGAGCTGCTCGTACCTTCCACGTTGTTGTAGAAATGACAGGAGCGACTTGCAACCTTCTTTCGACACAAGTGGATCTGGGGGAGAAAGGGCAAGTGGGCGGCTGGAGCACGGCTGAGAAGGGACCCGAAACAGCCTCCACCCACCAGGTCCTCCCCTGCAGTCCCCCGGGTGTACTTCAAACCCTATCCCAGCGGGAGCAGAGCCTGGGGCTCTGGACACCCAGCAGCACTCGCCTCACGGGATCCTGAGCCACGGAGGGGGCCCAGAAGCCCACCTGCATGTGGTTACTCTCCTGCTTCTTCACTTCAGGGTGGATGCACAGCTGCTCCCGGGAGCCCAGCACACACACCTTAGGCCTGGTGGGAGAGGACACATGGGTGGGAGCCCAGCACACACACCTCAGGCCCGGTGGGAGAGGACACGTGGGTGGGAGCCCAGCACACACGCCTCAGGCCCGGTGGAAGAGGACACGTGGGTGGGAGCCCAGCACACACGCCTCAGGCCCGGTGGGAGAGGACAGGTGGGTGGGAGCCCAGCACACACGCCTCGGGCCCGGTGTGTAAGGACACGTGGTGGGAGCCCAGCACACACACCTCGGGCCCGGTGGGAGAGGGCACGTGCGTGGGAGCCCAGCACACACACCTCGGGCCCCGTGGGAGAGGGCACGTGGGTGGGAGCCCAGCACACACACCTCGGGCCC